CATTGCTAGTGAAGGAAGGGACTAAAGCTGATGTTTTCTGTAGGATAAGCAGTCCCTGAGGAACTGCTGAGCAAAACCACTCGGTGCTTTTTATTTCTCCCATGAGCCCTTAGCCCTCGTGAGCATGTCCTGATGGTGCTTCCCCCTTCTTCCTGCCATGAGATGAGCTCCCTGGGGGTGGGTGGGTGGGGAAGGACCCCAGCTGCTGGCTGGAGATGTGGGTCCTTTGTCCTCCCCTGTGCTGGGGGACCCGGGCAGAGGTGACAGACACACCTTTCAGACCGAGCTGAGCTGGCAGGGTTGGTGCTGTGGGGTGAGGTGGCTGCGCTCTGGTGTTGGCACTGCCTGGGATCAGGCACCCCTCGGGGGAAGCTCTTCCCCTGCCTGTGTGGGACTGTGCCAAGCAGCAGGATGGGCTCGCCCAGGAATCCCAGACAGGGACGTATTGCAGGAACAAACTGGAATTTATGCCTTTAGAGGGCCTGGGATATGCTCTGCACTTCCCTTTCCCCCAGGCATGGTCTGTAGGCCTGTGGGAGCAGTTGGTGTCTCAGCTCTGCAGAAACCACAGCGTTACCAGCCTAATTAATCTGGTTCTGGCCGTGTTGTTTTGCAGGGGGCTGCCAAGCCAGGCCTTTGAGTACATCCTGTACAACAAGGGGCTGATGGGGGAGGACAGCTACCCGTACCGGGCCCAGGTATGTCCGGGCATCCCGGGTGCTCCCGCAGCAGCACAGGGCCTGGAGCTGCCTCCAATGCCCATTCCCTTCTCCCTGCACAGAATGGGACCTGCAAGTTCCAGCCGGAGAAGGCGGTTGCGTTTGTCAAGGATGTGATCAATATCACCCAGGTGAGGCTGCTGGGCCTGTTCCCAAACTGCCAGGGCTGTGCCAGGGGTGCCCGCAGGGAGCGGGCTGTGCCCGGCTGCTGCGTGCGTGCTTGTGTGTGTGTGTCTGTGTGTGTGTGTGTGCCTGCTCCTCCTTCCCCGGCACCCCTGCCTGGAGCTGCTGCAGGCCCCAGCTCTGCCTGCTTCCCACAGCCACTGCACCTCAGGCTGTGAGGAGGCTCTGGCAGGGCAGTTGGGCTGGGTCATCTCCAGAGGTCCCTTCCAAGCCCTGCCATTCCGTGGTTCCATGGAGCCTTGGCCCTTCTCTGCCAGTGCAGGCAGCAGGCCAGGGCAGCCAGCCCCTCTGTGCTCTGCCTGCTGCTCTGGGGATCCCGACTGCCCCAGGGGGCTGGGAGCTGGGTGACCCTGGGGTCTGTCCCTGCAGTACGACGAGGATGGCATGGTGGAGGCTGTGGGGAAGCACAACCCAGTGAGCTTTGCCTTTGAGGTGACCCCTAACTTCATGCACTACAGGAAAGGAGTCTACTCAAAGTGAGTTTCTGGACCTGGGAGGGGGAGGTGTAGCGCTGGAATCACTTGCATTCCGGGTCTTCCTGGTTCCCTTCAGGGCAGGCAGGGCCCTGAGCACCTTGAGCCAATCCCTCTCTGCAGCTGGAGCTGTAAGAAAAGTAGCACAGATGAAAAATCGGTTTGAGACCTGAGTGACCTAGCAGGAAAAGCTCTCGTGCTGTGTCAGCTCCACAGCTGAGGCAAACAGCTGCTTCACAGGGTGGGGTTATATCTTGGACACTACCTGTGACAGGAGAGATTTCTACCAGGCAGGAAATGGGAAAAATACAAGAACTAGAAAAATACTCGAGGGTAACAGATCCACAGTCAGGTAGAACTGAGGGGACATCAAACCAAGAGTCAAGGCAGGTGTGACCTGCCCAGGGAGCAGCAGGGGAAGGAGCAGTAGCACCCAGTGGCAGTGGCTTTGCCACTGGGGTGAGGATGGTGATCCCTGCAGTTAAGCAGGCAGAGGCTGGTTGTGGACACAGGGACGTGGCCCACTAATCCACACGGAATCCCAGGCCGGTTTTCCCTGGAAGCAGCCTGCATTGTTTGCTGTCCCTGCAGCCCCCGCTGTGAGCACACCCCTGACAAGGTGAACCACGCTGTCCTGGCCGTGGGCTACGGGGAAGAAGGTGGAATTCCCTACTGGATCGTGAAGAACTCATGGGGCCGGCTCTGGGGCATGGACGGGTGAGGAGCTCCCACCCCTGCCAGACACACCGGGGGCTCCTGGTGACAGGAGGGGACAGCCCTGCGCTTCCCCCTGCCCCCAGCTCCCCCTCAGGCGCTGGGGCTGCAGGTGGAGCTGGGAGGGAGTTTCCAGCTCAGCTCTGCCAATATTTCCAGCTGGAAGTGGCATTTTTCAGCGGGGGTGGCCATGCCTTGCTCCCGGGAATTGCTCCTGAGCTCCGGGAGGAAGGAGCCTGCCCCTCAGGAGCAGCAGCTGCCCAGGGGAGCACTGGCTGACTCATTCACACGCGTTCATTTCTCCTTTTAGGTACTTCCTAATCGAACGTGGCAAGAACATGTGTGGTCTTGCTGCCTGTGCGTCCTACCCGGTGCCTCAGGTGTGAGGGGGCCGGGCAGGGGGCTCAGCCAGGCCCGCAGGGGCACGGAGGGGCTGCAGCACAGGCTGCTCCCTGCCTCGGGAACACCCTCCCTGCTGTCCCTGCCTGCGGGACGGGACGTGCAGCACTGACCCCGACAGGGCTCACCCCGGGGCTCCCAGGCTGCAGCTGGAACTGCCGGGGATTCCGTGATCTCTGCCTCTCTCCACAGAAACATGAGCGCACCTTGGCTCTTTATTTTCACCCCGGGCGTTCAGTAATTTTATTATTAATTTTTTTTGTATGAAAAAAATCGGGTATTTTGATGCAAACAGAGATTATTTTCTTCTACGAGCCAATCAAGCAAGCGGGAACATAC